AAATCGTTCAAACTTGTTAAAATTGAACAAGTTAGCTTCTTGGATGCGTTTACACCCGTTAGAATAATATGTCGGATTAATGTAATTTTACGCGTTATAGTGCGTGTATAGTGTGTGTTTATCCTTTTCAGTCAGGTTTTTGTTGCATTATTGGATCCCAACATCCACATGGCTATGGTCTACTAGATACTGTTCATCAGTATCATTATGGTAGACTAGTCTCTTACACATATATATGTAGTAAGAGGAAAACTTAGAAAATTTTCTAAGTGAGTCTATCGTATATTTCATAGGAAAAGACATGCTATTTATATATGAGTTGATCATGCAAAACAAAAGGGTAACTGGAAAATTACCGTTCTAACTGGAACGCGTACGCATGCCTCTCTCGCACGTTGTAGTGTAAAGACACACTTTTTTTGTTCTCTTCTCTCTCTAATACATTTTACATAGTATATATACATTCAAGTGTATATACACGTGCTTTTGGTGTATTATTAGTTAGTAGTTGGTAATCGAGTTAATAAAGATTAGTGTATTGTCTATATATATTCAGGTGTGTATTGTTAAAACCAATAATATGCTCGATAAAAACAAGTTAGAATTATTATTATAATAACAATATGTCACAAAAACAGGAAGATATCTTAGTAGAGGGTGTGAATAGTAGTAGTTGTCAAAGTGAAAATAACCGCGCACAGCAGGAAACAACGACGAAATACAGTCGAATAATTAAGAGTCGTTCAAATTCAGATAATAATCAAAACAGTTTAAAACGCACAAGTAGCAATATTAGTCGTCATAACAGTAGTTATTGGTCAGCTCCAACATCAGACAAAAAAGCACGTACAGGTGATATTATCGAATTAGATGATAATTTCGAATCTAATCGGTATAATGAAGATAGCGATATACCTAATATAAATTATAATGAGAATACATTTAAGCAACAAATAAGTATTGAAACAAATGATCATACTAAAAATAAACAAAAACCAATGCAGGTATCACAACAATCTCTTGATTTTGCTGCTGAAAATCA